TCATGACTGTATCTGTGCTCCTCTAGTCTCTCCTGTATGGTATGTGTTTTTTCCATCCTCTTATCTCTACCTGTTAAAATTCTACTTATCTCTCAAGGTCCCTGCACTTTGTTCATATTCAGAACATTAATATTTATCTCACTGCATTGATATTTATCTCACTATATTCATATCAATTATTATCTCACTGTATTTATGTTAAATATTCACCCACTTGATTACGTCTTCAAAAAGATTGGAGTACTTTATGTGCAGCGATGCTACTTACTCATCTTTATATACCTCTTTCTTTCCCCATGATCTGGTCACTGCTTAGCATATGTATGGGTAGAGGCTCCTGACATGCTTAAACAAGACAGAGCTACCTCTACTCCTAATGCGTTGAAAGCTACAGCCATCTGGCCCTAATCACTAGCAAGGTGCTGTCAAGAAGATTAAAATCTTAGGTGATTGGACTAGATTGCCTTTTAAAACCCCTTTGACCCAAAGACTCAAATTCCAAACAGACTCATGAAAGAAGTATACATTGTGCCCTGCAGGTAGGCTTTTTTCTCATTTCCTTTTCTTCTCTCCCTAAAGAGAGCCATTTCAGAAATTCTCAGTTGAGGACAGATTTTAAATTCTTCTACCACTGTTTTTCTGTCATTTATTTTATCCGTGGTAGCTCATGAGTAAGAACTAGCACCTGAATTCAGTGGACTGAGCCATTATCCTTAAAATCAAATCATGAAGTAAGAGATAGAAAATAAGGGGAAATTGTTTGTTAAGTACAGACTACAAGCTCTACAAGAGGAGAGAAAAATCAATGGGAGCCAGAGTGATCAAGGAAAGGATCTTCAACCAAGTATTGCAGGATAGATAGAATATAAATGTAGGAGAGAAGCACTGTCATGTTAATTAAGAAAGATTAAAACAGAAAAGGCAAGAAGGGACAAAATAAACCTAGTGTAGCCTGAGGACACAAGGCAGTGAGACTAAAGTTCAAACCCATGTTGGAAAATAGGAGGAAATGCTACTTGTCCCACAAAGTGGGACAAATAATTGGAGGCATGATGAGGGGCAGGGTAGGGAGGTGTCTGAGAGGCTGCTAATAGGAGAGCATTGAAGACCCTGAACAGAGGTGCAAGGTGAGGAAGTAAGTGTTTAAGAAAAATCAAGTCTGGGAGAACACTGCATGCAAGGTGAACATAAAGGGAGAGGCATTATTGTAAAGGGTGGCCACTGGGAAGGGGGTCATAACCAGGTAGCTTCAGGGGTCAAGAGCTTTTGCAACAACACTGATGGAACTGGAGGCCATTATCTTAAGTGAAACAACTCAGAAATAGAAAGTCAAATACTGTATGTTCTGACTTGTAAGTGAGAGGTAAATAATGTGCACACACAGACATAGAGGTATGGAATAACAGACATTGGTGACTGGAAGGGTGTGTGGGCAGGAGGAAGGTGGATGATGAGAAACTACCTAATGGGTACAATGTACATTATGTGCCTTATGAATACACTAAAAGTCCAAATTTCACTACTACACAGTCTATCCTATGTAACAAAATTGCAGTTGTATCCCTTATATTTATACAAAATAATAAAAAGAGTATGTCCTGGTGATGAGGGGAGAGAGGTCATTACAGAGAAAGGGGAAGAGAGATAGCCCCAAAGGGGAGTGAGAAGGATCTGCTAAAAGGGTGCAGGAGATGAAAGAGTATATTGTGTAAAAAATTACGGAAGGGATGGTGTGCTAAGAACAGTCAAGGAACTGAGGAAAAGCTGGATTGGCTACCACAGTAGCTTTGGTACATGTTAAATCTGTATTCAAGCATGAAATACCCAGGAGCAGATAAGCTATGGGACAGGAATTCACAGAAAGAAGAGGATTCAAATTAGAGACTTGACAGCTTTCTACAGATAAGAGACAGCTGAAGTCCTAGAATGAGAAAGAGGGAGAGAGTCCCTAAGAGCCCCAAAGTGATGAACAGTGGAACCTTTGAAAACCAGATGTTTGTAAGAATATGAGCACAATGAAAGGCATAGAAAAGCAGCAATCAGTACAGAATAAAAATTCAAGATCCAATAGCATCACAGCAAACATGAAAGGAGTTTTAAAAAGGAATGGGTGATAGATGATGAATGATGGTTAAGGACCAGAGCATTTTAAAGACATCACTAGACCAACAAATCAGCAGGGTTACTTCCCCTCTCAACTACTAACATACTACACAGAATTATTTAATTGATAGTTAGGCAGAAAAAGAGTTTCTGGCTGTAAGACATAGTCTATTTTGTGTTTTATAATGACAAATAAGGAGACACATCAAGATGCTGCCATTCTCTGTGCAGAGTGAGTAATTAAAAAATAATGTTGCTAATATGGATCAGTTTTGAATAATGTCACTTAGAATATGTACTCTTCTGGGGGGTATATAATAGAAGTAACACTGCTGATGCTACAGATTGGTGATGTATTATGAATATGTGGGTAACTTAACAAAGTATGCAAGTCCTAACAAAAGTTATAAAGAACATCTAAAGGCATATAAAACTGCCACAGGGACTATTAAGTAATTCATGGGATATTGCCAGGCACAGACAAAGATGGTATGTTTCTGAATCCACAAGAATGCTTGGGAAGTGATATTTCTTACCTGCTCATGAAATACTCAGTTTATGTCCAGGATATAACAAGAGCCGCACTTGCAACTACTTTCATTTTAGCTGTGAACCATCTGGGAAGGTACCACAGATAAAAAGCAATGCTTCTGATCAGTCTGAGTATTAAAATCACTCAGATCTGACTGATGGAGATGACATTAGAGGAAGCCAAGTGCTTTTTCCAGTGTCACTGAAACTGGCCTCTGGAATAGGGGGGCGAACTACTGTGCAAGAAATGCCCTCTACTTCCCCCAAATGGAAATAAACAAATAATTAATAGTGACCATGGACAGATTCAGGTTTTGTGGGTCCTAAAACAAAGACATCACTAAGAAATAAGAAATAAGAAAGTAAAAAGCAAGAAAGTACCCACTCTAAGAAATAAGAAAGTAAAATTGCAAATACAGGACTGAGTATGAAACTGGTTATTTATTTAGAGTGAGAACCAGAAGAGACCTACAGTTACAAGACCATAAAACATAAAGGTTGTCAGCTACGCGGTAAATTCACCTCTGCTAATGACCAAGTATTGAGCATAAAGTATAGAAAGGGAGGAAGAGCAGGTAATAAGGAAGAGGAAAAATAAATAAATAAATAAAAAACAATGTCCCTTAAGGAATTCTGGAGACTGAATAAGAAAAAAGACCAAGAATAAAACCCCAGAAAGAACTCTGAATTGCAGAATACAGAAGGTATAGAGATGGGAGAGAACCCAGAACCCCTAGTCAATGTATATAACACATTGTCATCATATTTATTTTCCAGTGATTTACAACCATATTGCTTTTAGAAGCCTTGCCTAGTGGGACCAGATTTTGGGAAACACCAGGCCACTTCCCCTTAGGTACTCAACAAGTGTTTGCTGAATGAATGAATAAGTAAATGCATGAAGAGAAACAAGGGAAATACTCCTTTTTCTTACTCTCCACCAGGAGCTGCTTTCCTCTGATGCTCCAATATACATGCCTGTTTTTCTTGGCACTGGTTGGAATTGTCAAAGCAACAGTTCATGCCAATCTCTTCTCTTGCTCTGTTCAGGATAAACATGTGACTGTTTTTCCTGAACAGGCCAAATCAAAAGCTATCTCTACCAAACATTAACTTGTAAGCATGTTCAGAGTCTCCTCAAGAGGATTATATATAAAATGGCTACTGTGGGGTCACTCTACTTACTTCCTCCCATCATCTTTCTCTTTCTGAATCAGATCCTGCAGGGATATCTCAGAAATTATTAACACCTAGTTGGGGAGGATAGGTCAGTGTGGGATTCTAGCCAGGGCAGAAAGGCAACAAAATTCCTACATTTCAAACATTTCACCAATGATGGTAACATAAGTGACAATTAATATATCAATCATGATGACGCTTCCAGAAAGATATTGAAAAGCCTCATGCACCACTCACTTGGTTAGCTACAAATCCAAGCCAGGACCAGGGGAACCCTGGCCCACCAACTGGCTCATCAGAAGACAAGATTTAGGTGGTGGGAGCTCTTAGTGAAAGGAGGAAGGAGGATATAACAGGGCACTCAGCCCCTGCTTCATAAAGGGATTCTCTCTGGACAATAAATGCCCTGCACCTTCCTGCAGGTTCGTATCTATCTATCTATCTGTCTATCTATCTATCTATCCGTCTATATATATATATATACACACACACTGGAATAGTTTAAAAGCTTATCCCTTCTTCCCCTCTTTTTTTTTTTTTTTTTTTTTTAACCTTTTCCTAAAGAAGTCTGCCTTCTTCCTCTTCACCTACTACATTTTCTACTTAAAACAGAGAAGAGCAAGACTGGAATAACACTACTGCTACCTCAATACTACCAAAAATCTGTATCCTGATGTTCTGTTTAGGGCAAAGGATATGAAATCACTGAGGCAAAGCAGCCACCTCAATAATTAGGACAGCAGGTCTTAAATGGGAGAATATCTTTAAGCCACTTCCAAGCTAGGTGATTCGACCTCAAGTTATTGAAACTCCCCACACCTGTTTCTTGGTTTTGCAAAACGGGAATGAATTTAGTTCCCACCTCTCGGAACTGTTGAGGACTGAGAAAATCCATGTATAGTGTTAAATATAACTGCACAGCAAAAGCTAATTAAATATTAGTACATGGTAACTAGCACAGGGTAAATTTAATAGTAGTAGTAAAATTATTGTGTCTTCCTCCCCCAGTCACACCACCAGCAAAACGGGCATAACCCCCATTCCCATCTTGCAGGATATGGGGCCAAGCCACGGCTACACTACACTCTCGCATGCACGAGAGACCCCCAAACGCCACAGCGCTACTGCAGCTTCCCCACCCCTGACTGGCCAGCGCCCCCCAAGCCATCGCTACAGTCCACACTGACCTGAAATGCCACCTCCGATCACGACCACGTCGAACATGTGGCCCGCTACACTCGCCTTCTCTTGGCTAGTCATGCTTCCGTTGATACCGTCCTGGGTCGTAGGCACAGGAGTGGGGACCGTAAAGGGTGGAAAGGACCCTTCTACCAATTCCCCTGGGGAGTCCGGGGGCGGAGCCGATCCTTCTTTTGATATCCGGAGGTAGCCGGGCACTGAGGGCGGGGCGAACCCTTTTGCTGATACTCCGGGAGCGCCCAGGGGCGGAGCTGATCTTTCTGCTGATGCCCGGCGGGAGCTGGGCACTGTGAGCGGGGCGGACCCTTGTACTGATGTTCGGCGAGAGTTACTAGGTTTAAAAGGTCCTTGGGTCCGCAGTTGGAAAGGATTGTTGGAGGCAGGAGGATCTTGTATTGAGCCCCGCGGAGTGTCGGGCACCGACGGTGGTGGAGACACCAGGCTTGATACTCGGGAGTTGTTAAGGGATGCAGGAGGTGCTCGTGGCGTTACTCGGGAAATGTTATTGGGTAGAGGCGGTCCTGGTACCAAAACCCAGGGGAAGCTGGGCGCTGTGGATGTAGCAGATCCCTGTACTGACACTTGGGTGGTGTTACTGGGTGTAGAAGGTGCTTGAACTGACAGTTGCGAAAGGTCGCTGGGTATGGGAGGTCCCTGTACAAATATCCAGGGGTAGCCGGGCATTGAGGCCAGGGCGTAACCCGTGGGCAGGGCCGGCCCTTCCACCGAATCCCGAGGGGTGCTGAACATAGATGAAAAGCCCGAGCCTTGTAGTGACTCTAACGACCAGTCTACGGACGGGGTAGGTCTTGTTACTGATACCCGGGGAACACCATCGTTGTGGCTGGAGGTTGTGGCGGCCCCATCGGAGGAGTTGGAACGGATGGTAGACTCCGGGATCTGCCTGCCCAAGATGTAAGCGCTGAAACCTGCCAAGCTACTCTTGGAGTCGGAGTCAGTATTAAGGTTACTTGTGGTGTTGATTTGAGAGGGTATGCTGGTGCTCCAGGAGGCGGCCTCGGCCGTTGAGGACATGCTCCACTGGGAACTACCTGAAGGATTGGAGACGGTCCGCCATTCCGAACGGATGCTCCATTCGGACGGGTTGTACGAGGTGTAGTCAAAGCTGGAGGCCGGGCTCGGGATCTGAGCAGTTGCGCCCCCGGCTTCGGGCGGACTCCCCGCCTCGCGCCCGCTCCCGGTGCCGATGCCAGTGGCGGTGCCGGTGCCGGTCCCGGTGCCAGTGGCGGTGCCGGTGCCGGTCCCGGTGCCAGTGGCGGTGCCGGCGCCGGTCCCGGTGCCAGTGGCGGTGCCGGCGCCGGTCCCGGTCCCGGTGGCGGTGGCGGTGCCGGTGCCGGTGCCGCCGGGAGAGGAGACTGAGTAGTTTGTGTTCATGATTCAAGTTCTGGAGCACTTTGGACGCTAGGGGCGGCGTTCCTCTCCCCGCAGCCCTTCTCCACGGTCAGGCTGTTGCCGGTATACACTCTTGGTGGCCAGTCCCGGGCGCCGGGCCCAGTCGGGGGCGGGGAGATGTGGCTCCAGCCCGGCCTGGCCCCGCCTTCCTGGTCTACCGGCCGGCTGGCGCTGGCAACCCAGCCACTGGGCGTGGCCGGGCGATGCCACTGCATGCGGGAGCCGCCGTGAGCTGGCGAGAGTTGGAAAGTGGAAGTGGGTGTAACCGCGTGGGGTCTCAACTTAGTGCTTTCATTCTTTGGCTTTAACTAAAAGTTAATTGGCCAAGAGTGAACTTAAGGAAGCAGATATTTGAAGGAGGCGGAGCCGGGCAGGATCGCAGGATCACCTGGTGCTGCCCGACTTGGTCTGGCCCCCTTGTGACGTCATCAAGGGCCCTCTGAGGTCTGCGCAGCCTCGAGCCCTCACTAGTTTGAGGGCGGGGCGGGGAGGAGTGGGTCGGGGGGCGGGGCGGGGGCGGGGCGGGCGGGGGGGTCGGGGGGGCCGGTGCCGGGGCGACGGCGGGGCGGGGCGACGCGAGGGCGAGGGCGGGGCCGGGGCGGGGCCGGGGCGACGGCGAGGGTGAGATCGGGGCGAGGGCGGTGGGCGGGGCGGGGCTGGGGCGGTGGGCGGGGCTGGGGCGGTGAGCGGGGCGTGGCGTGGCGGGGCGGGGCAATGGCGGAGGCGGGGCGGGGCGATGGCGGGGGCGGGGCGATGGCGGGACAGGGCGATGGCGGGGCGGGGCGGGGCAGGGCGATGGCGGGGCGGGGCAGGGCGATGGCGGGGCGGGGCCGAGAACTATCACTTGAGAGAGACCAGGCAATTATTGGTTCTCTGTGGGGTTTTTCAAGCTAAGGCGCTTTATTGAAGTAGAAGCAAGTTAAATAAGAAAATTAGCTCACCTGTTCATCAATTGGAAGACAATAATATGAACAGGGCCATTCTCCTCAAATTGATCTAAATATTTGACACAATCCGTATCAAAATTCTAGCAAACTATTTTACAGATGTTGACAAGCTGATCCCAAAATGTTTGCAAAAATGCAAAGGATCCCAGTATAGCAAAATAATCTTGAAAACAAAGCAACACTCATACTACCCCATTCCAAAACTCTTTATAAAGCTACTGCAATCAAGGCAGTGTGGTTGGCATGCAGAGAGACATACAGATAAATTAAACTAAGTTCAGAGTCCAAACATAAATATTTTCGGTCTATTGGTTAAAACTAATTCAAAAGGGAAGGGATAATCTTTAATAATTGAAATCTACACAGGTAAACAGTGAATTTAGACTATTAACTGACACAATACACAAAAATTAACTCAAAATTTATCTTAAGCCTCAACGTAAGACTAATTAAACATAAAATAAAAATTCTTGAAATTAAAAAAAAAAAGAAAATTAACTCACCTATCATAGATTAAGTGGGAGTGCATTTTAAAAGCGAAGGTCAAAGGGATGGCTAAGGTGCAGAAACAAATGAAATAAGAAAGCATGTGTTTCCCCATGCTACTGAAAAGAGTGCTATTTAGTGCATATATTTTACTGTGCAACCAGCCTTCTGTTTGCTAGTTTTATCCTTTTCTTAACTTTTCACTTTCTCTTATCCTGAATTTGTCATCAAAAGCTGAATTTGTCATCACTGGAACTCTCAAAAATAGGTGAAATGGTGACATAAATTTAGAGAAAGTGATGAGAACTCGGGGAAGCTAATGATGTCTACTCCCACCTATAAACATTTCTCCTGCTGCCCTTCACCCCATTCTGTATCAAACATCTTGTCGAATAAACTGTAATGAAATATGGATTTAGTCTTTTCTTCATCCTGTTTTAATAGTTTTTACTTCCTAGAAAAGGACTTGAGACTTATGACTAAATTGAAATCATTTTTATCTTGGTAGACTTCGAGCATAGAGAGAAGAAATACTAGATATAAGTAAATCAGCTTTTTCTAATGTGATTCTGCCCACTTTTCTCCTTATTCTCATTGTTTTCATTTATTTTCATTCGGATACTTGATTTCACACTGCGTGCTAGGCACAGGGCACAGTACTGGGGATACACAGGCAACACAAGACAGAGACCATCATCATCGAACACACAGTCTAGCAGAGGAGCTAACAGAGGACATCGACGACTGTTTATGTGATGTGTAGATACAAACTCAGACAAATGTTATATTAGAAAGATCCACAGTGATAAGAAAATGTTAGGGTGTTCTGACCCTCTGGAGATTAACTTTGAGAGAATAAGTGTAAAAATGTTTCAGAAAGAAGAAACAATGTGTGCAAAGGCCCTGTAGTAGAAAAAAAGCATAGTTCATTAGGGCAACTAAAAGTTAGTCAGTGGAGCTGGGGCAAGGGGAGGAGTATAGGAGACAAGGCTGCTGAGGCCAACTGGGCCAAGGTAGCATCCTTGGCCACTAACCTAAGAGGAACAAAAGCCAGTGCAAGACTTTAAGCAAGTGGCAATATACCAAGATTGCAACTTGGAGAGGTCTGTCTGCCTGCCATATGCATGACTGGACAAGAGTATATAGGTACAGGGAGACCAAAGTTAGAAAATTTTTAAAGAAAGTGGTAGAAGTGTCTTAGACTGAGGTAGGTGGTGGCAGTGGAGCTGGGGATATCTTAGAGACATTTACATATAAGGTTCACAGGACTTGGTCGTAGCTAGAATTTGGAAGACCATGAGCATGTTTTTGGACATGATGAGTTTCAAGTGCCTTTGAGACATCCAAATGAACGTTTTAGAGTAGGCAACCGAGACTCGAAGCAAGAGTTTGGCTGGAGATTAAAATGGGGACATCTTATTAAATAAAGGATGGAAATAAATGAGAAGAAATATGGGTATTTTCTCTTCATTTTATTTGCATTGTATGAAAACAATACAAGTTCATTTCAAATAAATAAAGGAATAACTGTGAAACATCCCATAGTATTATTTCCTCCCTGTGTGACCTTGGGCAGGTTGCTTGACTTCTCTATGCTTGTCCCAACCATAGAATCATAGAATCCTATCAGTTGTTGAATTAGTCAGGGTTCCAGCAGTGTTGAGAAACGCTGAGAGTATGATTGCTGAGAAATGCTCAATGTATGATAAAATATATTGTTTGCTAAGAAGAACAATGGCAAGGAAAACCTAGCCACCCCTCACCAAGTGGAAAACCACTTGGGACATTCTAAAGTACCAAGACAGTATATGTATATCATACACTGGTGTAAACAATTCTTTAAGCATGGGATATGTGACCCTGCCCCCATGGCTTCCTCTTGGAGAATACGTTTTAGTTTGTCTGTGATCAGTGATAAGCAGGCACCAGCTGCCTACCTAGTTTATTTTTGTTCTATGAGAAAATATATCAAACACCTGTTTGCTAATAAGCATCACCTGTTCAGAGAGACTAACTATGTACGTCAGCGTCTGCTTGAGGCCTTTATCCCAGAATGCTGTCAGCCCTCTGAGGCTCTCCACTTGGGAGGCTGTTGCCCCCCCAGATAGTCCCACTTTGTTGTTCTGTCTGGGTGTCTGCTTCTTAACGCCTTCAGTGCCACCTGGGTGGGGGTCACTAGGGCCGAGCTGGTCTTGGTACAGCAAGAAACAGCAAACTCAAATTAAGTAATTTCAAGACCGTGTCATCAACTATTTTCAAAGATGTGGGCAAGATAGAGAGAAGCCATAAGGAATTGTGCAGTACCCTAGGTTGGTAACAGCAAGAAGGTATCACTCTGAACAGGTAGGGGGAGAGAGCAGTCATCAGAACTTTAGTGACAATATTGTTTGTAAAGGGCTGCCTGACACAAGGTGTGTTCTTTAGTTCAGGGAGACAGCCAGCCCACAGGAAACCCACAGGAGGAAGCTGGGAGAATAAATACCTAATTTCCCTCCCTCCAGTCTCCTGCTGGTCCTCTGCATAGATCTAATCCAACCAGAAGCTAGAAAGCAAGGGAGACTGTTGATGCAGTCCATACACGTGTGAGACAAACTAGCAAGTGCCAAGATGCCATGTTTGCTCATTTCTGCTTGCCAGCATAATTTCACAAAACCCCTGAGTCTATGAAGATGTGCAGTTCACCAGAGGATGCTTTGAAGACATAACAGGATAGAGCATGTGGCCCCCCATATCTCTTGTCTGAGTCACTGTATTCCTTAAAAGATAAATGACCCTAGTCCTTGCCTTTCCCTACACATAAGGTAACGTCTGATGGGGTTAGTGATTATGCTTCCATAGTCTATAGCCAGATATACTCTTACACCCAAATCTACATGTGATTCTGCTTCAATGTAACTTCTGAGCAGGTTTGATTTAATTTTGCGTGCATTGGACTCCCATGCTTGTCTATAAGCAATGGGCTGAAATACTGTGTCAGAGCAGTCTGAGGGAACTGCTCCTGGACTATAAACCTTGGTCTGTAGTCTCCAGTAAGACTGCTGAATAAAACTAACTTTAATTATTTAAAAGCTGGATCTGTTTTTCCTTAGCTGATGCAGGTCAGCCTTCAGGGGCCAGAACAGAGTAGAGAAATGTGGTGGTGGCACCCAGAGAAGCAAAGTGAAGATACCTAGCACAGCTGAAGTGAGGGTTAAATGAGCAAATGCATTAAAACATTTAGGGTAGTACCAGACAGGTAATAATTACTCAATACATATTCATACTTTAATTTTTTAGACTACATTATATATTCATGCCATATATATGTATGTATGTATGTGTATATATATATATATATATATATATATATTCACTCTTTGTGTTCAGTTGCC